GTTTGTTCCCCATCCTTCTCCACTTCGCCTCGTTACAGCAGCAGGGCACCGCGGGGGAGGTCCACTCCTGATCCCAGGTTCCAACCGAGTCCTTCGGGTTCTTCTGCTTGTCGCGTGCCGCCGCAACATGGGTTCCGATTCAATCCGTCGTCCTTTTCTTCCCCCTTCCTCATCGCGAGATCTCTTGCCCTCCCTCCCCCCATCCCCGCCTGTACAAAGAGCTGTTCGGATCGGACGTTCTTCCTTTCTGTCCGCTGGACTGAATTCAGCTAGACCACACAAGCTAGTACTACAGCGTGCAGCGTTCTTATCTTTAAATACGGCTCCGCACCTCACGGCGTGTACGTCGCCGAGCCAATCATCCTCAGCACGGGTTAATATTAAGTGGCGTGACTTCCTGCTATCAATATTAGACAGCCTTGTGCTTCAGCCTCTAGCTCTCAAGCCGACATATAACTAGCGCTTAAAGTTCTTCATCGCAACACTTGTCTGCATTAGGGTTGGCTCCGAATCCTCAACATTCTCGACTGTACAGTACGGAGGATATAGATTCGCCATTTCCGTTAGCGTGGAAATCTCGTGACGCCGCTCTGCGATCGCCGTACGGGAGAGGCAGGATGGAGAATAAGTCCCGCGGCGTAACCGCGAGTCGCGCTCTCCGTTTGTTCGTGTCGCTCATCGTGTACGTCAGCGGCGTCGCCGGGCAGTTGCTGACAGACGATCAAGGTCGGTTACACTCTCCGGGCCGCCGTAGCTAGAATTTCACTACAGACTCCGAGAGGCAGCATAACGCGTCTCGAGGTTCCAGAAACTATAATTTCATTATATGTGCATCGACCGTTAACTTTTGGGTAGTGGTATGCATCCTAGCAGCTCGTAGCTCTGCTGCGAACGCTCCTGCGAAGCTGAGACCTGACACAGCAAGAAAGACGGGCATGAACTCACTCGATAAAGTCTCGTGTATTCGGCTTCGCGGATTTTCGCAGGTTGCTGGCAGGCACACCGTACGCCTACGGAGGCGGCCCCCGATATCAGATTTAGGAAGCGAGCAAGAACTCTGGAGCAAGCTCTCTTGCTTGTGGGTGACATTTCCGTGGCATGGTAGAAATAGCAGCCTTAGCGACAACCTTTTCCGCCATGCGCGGCCGTCACTCCACCCCCGTTTTAAACCCCCCCCCCCCCCCCCCCGCGCGCCCCCCCCCCCTCTCTTCCCGAAGTCGCAGAGACGGCGCGTTTATAGTACTGCTTTCCCCTTTTTCATTTAGCTAAAAAGGAGCTGCTGACAGCGTACAAGGCGGCAGCAGGGCTCACGGACTAGCCTGGAACATATCGGCTCAGAGGCACTGCTTTGACCATGCTACTGATACCGCCCCGGGCGGTATCCGGTTCTTGTCCGTCAGCCCCGGGCTGCCTTGACCATGCTACTGATACCGCCCCTGTCACACTGGCAATCCTACTCTTGCGTTCCCCTTCCAATCTCCTCGCAGTGAATCTGCCTCTGGCGTTCAAAGGCGGCGGCGGGGCTGACGGACAAGAACTGGAACCTAGTATCGGCTCCGAGGCACTTCCGTGATCGTGCTGCTAATACCCTCCTGTCACACTAACAAACGCTACCGCTGCGTTCTTTGCATCGCAGTGAATCTGCTTCTGGCGTTCAAGGCGGCGGCGGGGCTGACGGACAAGAACTGGAATATTTCGTCTCCGCGGAACTGCACCATGTGGAGCCGAATCAAGTGCAATGCGACGACGGGCGAAATCACGACCATGTGAGGGATACGGGTTTTTTTATTGGCTAGTACTTCAGATCAAGTGCGATGCGACGACTGGTGAAATCAAGCGCAGGGGTCACCAACGGCGCAGTTCCCGTTCGCCCAGTGTTCAACTTTCACCAACGGCGCAAGGGTTTATTGCCATGTGGCTGGTTTTCTGTGTTGATAAGGTCTCGTTATTGTCCAACGGTTCTATCATCAACGTTTTTTGTTATCCTGCAGTGTATTGTACTTGTATTCCTGGCCTGGATCTCAATATCGGTTGCTTGCGAACGTCGTCTGCTTGTGCGCGATTCCTCGTATTGGTCCGCAGGTACATTGACGATGGGTCCATCGCAGCCCTTCCTGACATTGTAACGAAATTCACTGCTGTCACGTACCTGTAAGTTCGCTGTTGTAACATATTTGAAATTTGGCTACACCTTACAGTTTCTGTCTGTGTTGAAACTTCCTCCTTTCCAATACGCCCTTCCTCTCTCCCCTACTATAAACGCTTTTAGAGATTCCTGCGTTTCCTTAGCTTATATCGTCAGGTTGTCTATCACACCAAAAATCATCACAAACCCATCCAGTCGTGTTCGTCTCGAGCTGTCTCAATAATCCCTCCAAATGCCGATTCTTCACTTCATCCCACGGTCTTCCTCTACACCCTCCTTAGGAGCATCACTCGTTCAAAAGCTCCCTCAACTATCGAAGAGAAGCTGTCAGCCATCAAGACAATGACTCAGCTGCGATACCTGTGCGTGCGGCACTACAGCAATCCATGCATGCATGCGAGCACCGTCAATACACCACCTGCAATGCACTCTTCTCCCATTCCTTCCTCTTGACTTGCCTTAATTCCCCGCCGTCAAGACTATGACTCAGCTGCTGCGATACCTGTGCGTGCGACACGGCAACGATCCATGCATGCACCACCAACACACCAAACACATACCAGCACACCACACGCTATGCTGCTCTTATCCGCTTTCTTCCTCGTGCCAATCCAGCATCTCCATCCTCCCTTCCTCCCTTTCTCACTGTTTGCTTCCCTCTTGTGATTCGATTCTATTAGGAGCCTCGGATCCAACTGGTTCTACTCCACTATTCCCGAGTGGCTGGTCCAACTGCCCCAGCTCCGCTACCTGTAAGTGCAGAGACTTTTGGTTGTGCTGGCAGAATTACAAGGTAACTCTCTTCTTACTTCCCCATCCCCAGTTGGCTGGTACAGCTTCCCCAGCTCCGCTAGCTGTAACCACAGAAAGTACCTGCAGTGTTACGGGGTCAGTCACTGGGTTGCTGTACGCTTACAGGAATACACCTCCCCCCCCCCCTCCCATCACGGCGCCACTCAGCTCCTTCGACGTCACCAGCAACCTTCTCTCCGGGACCTTCCCCCCCCCCTCGATCAAGACGCCCATCATGGCCTGCCTCTCCGCAGGCAACTGCCTGGTCATCCCGACTGATGCTAGCCCATCTAATTGTTGCCTTCCCTCTCATCTTCTTCCCATTTCTCTCCCGTTTCTCCCTCTCCCCTTCCCCCCCCCCCCCCCAGCCATCTGCCCTACAATTTCCTCACGGGCCCTATTCCCCCCATCACGGCGCCTCTCAACTCTTTTGACGTCACCAGCAACCTTCTCTCAGGGACCTTCCCCCCGCGCAAGTCGCCCATCAAAGCCTGCCTCTCCGCAGGCAACTGCCTGGACGACGCGTCCGCGTGTGCAGTGGGCGCGGGGCAGCAGAGGGCGGACGTGGGGGACGAGTACTGCGGGGCGGTGACCGGGGATATCTGCCGGCCGGCGCCTGAGGCGGGGCAGACGTGGAAGGACCAGGTGGCTCTACGATGCTCGTCCAGTGAGTTACAGCTGGTGGCTTGGTGGGTGGGCTACGGTTTGGTAAAGTGATTCGGTTGTGGAAGGATCAGGTGGCTCTGCGATGCTCGTCCAGTGAGTTACAGCTGGTGGCTTGGTGGGTGGGCTACGGTTTGGTGAAGTGATTCGGTTGTGGAAGGACCAGGTGGCTCTGCGATGCTCATCCAGTGAGTTACAGTTGCCGGGCTAGTGGATTGGGGGGTTGGCCTTGGGGCTTGCCTATGTACGTGGTCTAGTGGGGGATGAGTACTGCAGGGCGGTGATCGGGGATATCAGCCGGCCAGCTCCTGAAGTGGGGCAGACGTGGAAGGATCAGGTGGAGCTGCAATGCTCGTCCAGTGAGCTGGGGCTGGCGGGATAATCTGGGAGGGCTGGTTAACTGGTTAGCTGGTTAGCTGGTTAGCAGGTTAGCTGGTTAGCTGGTTAGCTGGTTAGCCGGTTAGCCGGTTAGCCGGTTAGCTGGTTACCCGGTTACCCGGTTAGGCGGTTACCCGATTAGCCAGTTAGCTGGTTAGCTGGTTAGCTGGTTAGCTGGGTGGAGCTTACACCTCAAAAAAATAGCAGCATCATTGCCCTGTTGCCTTCCCCATGTTCTCTGCCCCCTTCCCTGGCAGCGAGCTTCATAGAAGCAACGGATGCACTGGACGCCCCCGTGGCATGGCAGTACCTGAGCTGAGAGACGCCGCCCAATGAAATCAAAGACGTGCCAGTTGTAATTTTGAGGAGCCTCAGAAGCAGCATTCTTACGCCGTTGCTCCTCTAATTCCCCCTTCCTGCCGCATTTTCCCTGGCAGCGACCTTCATAGCAGCTACAGATGCTCTTGACGCCCCCATGGAAGCACCCGAAGATACGCCGACCGACGCGCCTGTTACGGACATGTCTGACAGCACATCTGATGGCACATCTGGTAGTGCAGATGGCTCGACAGGCAACACGGATGTTACAACACCACCGGAGAAGAAATTCACCCAGCCTGTGAAGCAGAACGGGCCCAAGGGTAAGAAGGGTGGTGGCAAGGGATGCTCGTGCAAGAAGAATGTGTGCAAGGCGAGCGAGGTGTGCGTCAACCTGTCTGTTGGCAAACGGTGCAACGTCAAGTGCATGAAGAACCTCTTCAAATTCAAGAAGATGTAGATTATTATCCGGAAGTAGAGGTTTCTTTTTACGAGAATGGGATGGGAATTTTTTAGGGGCAGGGTTATATTGAGAAACGTAATTTGTACCATACATATTTCGTTGTAAAAAAATTATACTGAAACCTATGTATTTTTCGGAACCATGATCTGGATAGCTTCTAGGTTGCTGTACACGCGTATTATCGCGTACGCAAATCTATACCCCACCACTACCTCATTTCCGGCAACGGTCATCTTTTTGTTCAGCTCATTTTTCCCCGCCAAACTGGTCGCCAGAATGAGCCTTCTGAACCGAGCCGCTTCGCTCTCACTCCCACAGAGCCTCACCTACTTCCCACGCGAATCGAGTGCGGCTGTCGCGTCGTCGGCCCGTTTCCCGCGTTCGGACTCGCTTCTTCTCCGTCCGCCGTATTCTGCAGTGCAATGCTGCCCCTTGGTTCCTAGGCGCATTTCCTCCCAGTCACTCTCCCGCTCTTCCCGTCGCCTCGCACGGTGCGATTCACAGCGCGACTCACGGCGCGATTCACGGTTCATGGCGGCAAGAAGCAGCATCAGCGGGGGTGGCGGAAGCGAAGCGGGCGAGGTCCAGGCAGAGGAGAGATCGGGATCGGACGGTTCACAGAGCCTCGCGACGCGGATCCTTCACTATAAGGGCGCGGACTTCGATCCGTATGGCGCCGTCAGCACGCCTATCTACCAGACGGCGACATTCCGGCAGGTTGGACTGAGACGGGTCGGTCTGGTACGGGTTGGACGGGGGGGAAATGGCTTTTAAAGGCGAGTCAAATATAAGGTCCTTCACTTTAAGGGCGCGGATGGCGACCCGCACGGTGCCGTGCCGTCAGCACGCCCATCTACTGGACGGCAACATTCAGACAGGTTGGACTGAGACGGGTCGGTCTGGTACAGGTTGAACGGGGGGGAAATGGCGCGGACGGCGACCCGCACGGTGCCGTCCGCGCACCTATCTACCGGACGGCAACATTCAGACAGGCAGAGTTGGGGGGAAAGGGGAGGGGAGAGGGGAGGGGGGGAGGGATTTTTAGAGGCCAGTCGAATGTTGGATCCTTCACTAAGAGGTCGCGAACTTCGATCCTTATGGCGCTGTCAGCACACCTACCTATCAGACAGTGCCATTCAGCCAGTCGTGTTGGAGTGTGTGTGTGCGGAAGGGGGGGAAGGGGGGAGGGGGAGGGATTCTTAGAAGCTCAGGACATTTTGAAACGCTGGTTTTTTCGTTTTTGTTTTTGTTTTTTATGTTTTGTTTCTGTTTTTTTTTGTTTTTTTTTTTCGCCTCAAAAGTAGAGTTTGGAATAGTGTCAGACGCTGGATATGGAAACCTCTTTAAAACCAGAAGCCTCGAAGATGAGGAGAATGAGAATGAGGTGATTGCAATCTTGGTGCCAGCACACATCCGTATACTCCCGCTTTTCATGTCTTAGTGTTTCACTCCATATTCCAACTAAAAAAAAGAAGGTTTTTTTATACGTCCCAAAAGATGTTAGCAAGCAATGTTGGGACCCACATACATCAATATTCATATTTAAATGCCCACTCTTCATGTACTCGTTATGTCAGGTCTCTGCAACGGAGAACAACGCGTATGACTACACTCGCAGTGGTAACCCGACACGGGATGCCTTCGAGAAGTGAGTGTATACAGAGTGTGAATTTTCTTCTCTTGCAGTGTGGATACAGAGTGTAGCAAGAGTGTAGAGAGTGTGGATCTTCTTCTTTTGCTCGGAATAGCACTTCCCATTTCTTTTTGTAATTCCCTTTTCCCCGTTCCCCAGGCTCTTCCCCCTTGGCCCCTTCCCCAGGCTCTTCCGAATGACACCTATATACTCTATGTTCCAGACAACACCTCTTCTCTATATTCCGAATAACCCCTATTCACTTTGTTCCAAACTCGGAACAACCCCTATTCACTCTGTTCCAAACTCCAAACAACCCCTATTCATTTTGTTCCAAACTCGGAACAACCCCTATTCACTTTGTTCCAAACAACCCCCTCCCCCCTGCTCACTGTGCCTTTTTCCTGCTGTCTTTTCTCGTCTCCAGGCTCCTAGCAGAGGTCGAGGGAGCCCACCGTGCCTTTGCCTTTAGCACGGGGATGGCAGCACTTGCTGCAGCTACCAGACTGGTTACCACTGGTGAGACTGGTTACTGCTGGTGGAATTTTCTTCCCGTTCCCACCTCACTCTTGGGTTCTTCCCGCCTTGTGGGAGACATGACTATAGAGGAAGCAAGGAAGCAAGGTATAATGTCAAGGGTTCTGCTGTCTGAGGTGACTTTTGAGTCGACTCAAAAGTCACCCCTATAGAGGAAGCAAGGAATAATGTCAAGGGTTCTGCTTTCTGAGGCCCACAACTGCTTTGTTTCCCTCCCGTTCAGGCCACACGCTCTTCGTTCTCTTGTGTGGCAGGTGACGGTATTTTTGAGAATTCTCAAAAATCTATCTTCAGGCCGCACCCTCTTCGTTCTCATGTGTGGCTGGAGACATGGACCGGCTGCTGAGTCGATTTTTGAGTCGACTAAAAAATCGACTCATTACACACGGACTATCTTCAGGCCGCACCCTGGATGGAGACATGGACCGGCTGCTATCAAGAGTGGGTGGGTTGGACGATACCAGTCATGCTTTTGGTGCTTCCTTCCCCCCCGCTTCCTTCCCCCCTACGGTGTTTCCTCCCTGCAGGCTCATCTATTGTGGCGGGTGACGATACCTATGGGGGCACTGATCGTCTGCTCTCAAGAACGGGATTAAACGAGCCCCTTCCTCCCCCTCCGCCCCTTGCGTGCCTCCCTTCAACTCCCCCTCGCAGGCTCGTCTATAGTGGTAGGTGACGATATCTATGGGGACACTGATTGGCCGCTGTCAAGAATAGTAGGATTTCAGTTATCCTATTCTCCGCCTCACTCCGATCCCCCGTGTCTTCTCCCTACAGGCTCGTCCATCGTGGCGGTTGACGATATCTATGGTCTGCTTTTGAGTCGACTCAAAAGCTCCTCTCCCCCCCGTGTGTCCTCCCTACAGGCTCATCCGTCGTGGCGGGTGACGATATCTATGGTCTGCTTTTGAGTCGACTCAAATCAAAAGCTCCTCTCCCCCCCGTGTGTCCTCCCTACAGGCTCATCCGTCGTGGCGGGTCATGATATCTATGGTCTGCTTTTGAGTGGACTCAAAAGCTCCTCTCCCCCCTGTGTGTCCTCCCTACAGGCTCATCCGTCGTGGCGGGTGACGATATCTATGGTCTGCTTTTGAGTCGACTCAAAAGCTCCTCTCCCCCCCGTGTGTCCTCCCTACAGGCTCGTCCGTTGTGGCGGGTGATGATATATATGGTCTGCTTTTGAGTCGACTCAAAAGCTCCTCTCCCCCCTGTGTGTCCTCCCTACAGGCTCATCCGTCGTGGCGGGTGACGATATCTATGGTCTGCTTTTGAGTCGACTCAAATCAAAAGCTCCTCTCCCCCCCGTGTGTCCTCCCTACAGGCTCATCCGTCGTGGCGGGTCATGATATCTATGGTCTGCTTTTGAGTCGACTCAAAAGCTCCTCTCCCCCCTGTGTGTCCTCCCTACAGGCTCATCCGTCGTGGCGGGTGACGATATCTATGGTCTGCTTTTGAGTCGACTCAAAAGCTCCTCTCCCCCCCGTGTGTCCTCCCTACAGGCTCGTCCGTCGTGGCGGGTGATGATATATATGGTCTGCTTTTGAGTCGACTCAAAAGCTCCTCTCCCCCCTGTGTGTCCTCCCTACAGGCTCATCCGTCGTGGCGGGTGACGATATCTATGGTCTGCTTTTGAGTCGACTCAAAAGCTCCTCTCCCCCCCGTGTGTCCTCCCTACAGGCTCGTCCGTCGTGGCGGGTGATGATATATATGGTCTGCTTTTGAGTCGACACAAAAGCTCCTCTCCCCCCCGTGTGTCCTCCCTACAGGCTCGTCCATCGTGGCGGGTGACGATATCTATGGGGGCACAGACCGGCTGCTTTCAAGAATCGTGCCTCGCGCAGGAGTTGCTGTCAGGTGGGTATTCTGCGTTTTCAGGTTGGCCCTCTGTTGGTGTCAGGTGGGCTTTCTAAGTTTTCAGGTGGGCCCTCTGTTGGTGTCAAGTGCTCCCTCTGTTTGAACTCCCGTGGAAGATTTCAGAGGCAGAACCTGATCAGTGATCAGCCCCACCAACGCCTCCCATGGAGTCATTTTTGAGAAATTGAAGGCAGTGAAGTGAAGGCGTCAGCTAAGGAAGGCGAGAAGCAAGCAATCATGGAGAGCCCCACCAATCAAGCCTCAAGATTCTACCACTCCCCTTCCCCCCCTTCGCCCAGTCCCCCCTCTCACCTCCTCTCTCTCGTGCCAGGCATGTTGACACAACGGACCTAGAGGCAGTGAGGGCGGAAGTGCAGAAGGGCACGAAGCTAGTGGTCATGGAGAGCCCCACCAACCCTCACTCGTGACTCTGACTCCCCTTCTCGTCCTCTCCTTCCGTCCGTCCGATCCTCTTGCAGGCGAGTTGATCCGACAGCCCTAGAGCCAGTGAGGGCTGCTGTCACTGAGGGCACGAAGCTAGTGATCATGGATCGCCCCACCAATGTTTCCTTGTGGTGATTCTCCTTTTTCCTTTCCCTTTCCTCACCCTCCCTCGTCTCCCCCCAGGCGTGTGGACACAACGGACCTAGAGGCAGTGAGGGCGGCTGTCACGGAGGGCACGAAGCTAGTGATAATGGAGAGCCCGACCAATCCTCGGATGATGATCAGTGATATAGGGGTGCGTGCAGTGTACCAATCCGATTTGTGGGTATTCTCTTGGGTTCTTCTGTTCACCTGTGCTATCTATCCAAGCTCGTACAGCTGGGAAGACTGGCCCCCCTCCTCCCTCCCGTTGCCCTTCCTCTAGCAGATATCGCTCTCACAGCAGGTGATGCTGTTGACATGATGCTGTTTTCAACAGGTGACTTTTGAGTCGACTTAAAAGTCAGCTCGTTACAATATTATGTCAGCTCATGGCACCCAAGTGGTGTTCTGTAGGTGATGCTGTTGAGATGATGCTGTTGTCAACAGGTATGATTGAGAATCCTCAAAACACACAGCAGGGGACATGATGCTGTTGTCAACTGGCGCGCCGGTGCGCACCTACTGAGTTGACAACAGCATCATGTCGGCCGTGCTGTCGAAGCCGCTGCATCTGATCAAATTTCTCCCTCTCCCCCCCCCCCCCCCCCTACCCTCTCCCTTGTTACTTCCCCTCATTCACAGGCCATTGCAGAGATTGCCCATTCCGTGGGTGCACTACTATTGGTTGACAACAGCATCATGTCGCCGGTGCTCTCGAAGCCGCTGCAGTTGGGAGCAGACATTGTGATGCACAGTGCGACCAAGTTCATCAGCGGGCACAGCGACGTTATGGCTGGGGTGCTGGCTGTTAACAACCCGGAGTGAGTCTGTCTGTAGTGGGGGTTATATGAACATGAATGAATGCTGCAGCTGGAAGGAGCAGACATTGTGATGCACAGCGCGACCAATTTCATCAGCGGGCACAGTGACATGACGGCAGGGGTGCTGGCTGTCAATGCCCCAGACTCCAGAGTGAGTGCTTTCCATGCCGACGTCTGCGTCTGTAAGAGCGCACATCAGTCACACACACACACACGCACGCACTCACACATGCAAACACGCACGCACGCACGCATGCGCACGTGCACGCACACACACACCCACACACACACCCACACACACACACACACACACACACACACACACACACACACACACACACACACACACACACACACACACACACACACCAGTGTATCGCACTGCAGCTGGGAGCTGACACTGTGATGCACATTGGGGCCAAGTTCATCAGTGGGTGGGGGGCACAGCAACGTGATGGATGGGGTGCTCACTGTCAATGCCCCAGACTCCAGAGTGAGTGCTTTCCATGCCGACGTTCGAGTCTGTACGTGCATGTGTTCACATTCATGCGTCTATCCGTGTCTCATGCTGCTGCTGGGAGCGGACAGACATTGTGACGCACAGCGGCACCCCTTTGTTGCCCCCTTCCCTTCCCCCTTTTTCCCACTCCTCCCCCTTATCCCTTCTCTTCCCTTCCCTCCGTTCACGCCAAGCCTGGCTTGCGAGATCTACTTTGTGCAGAACGCCGAGGGCTCTGGGCTGAGCCCATGTAGAGATCTTCCCTGTCCCTTTGTTACCCCCTTCCCCACCCCCCCTCCCCGTTACCCGCCCTTCCCACCACCCTCCTTTTCCCCTTCCTTCCCCCTGTTCACCCCCAGCCTGCCTCACGAGATCTACTCTGTGCAGAACGCAGAGGGCGCCCATACAGAGATCTTTCCAACCCCTACTTACCCCCTTCCCCCAACCCCCCTTCCCCCTCCCTCCCCCCCACCTTTCCTTCCCACCCCCCTTCCTTCCCCCCGTTCATCCCCAGCTTGGCTCGCGAGATCTATTTCGTGCAGAACGCGGAGGGCTCTGGTCTGAGCCCGTTTGACTGCTGGGTGTGCCTGCGAGGAATCAAGACCATGCCGCTACGACTGGAGCGGCAGCAGGTACGGGTGTACATGTGTGCGTGCGTGTGCGTGTAAGTGTGTATGGGTGCGCGAGCACGCGCGTGCGTGCGTGTGTGCACGCGCGTGTGCGTGTGTGTATGTGTGTGTGTGGTGTGTGTGGTGTGTGTGCGTGTGCGCGCATGTGTATGTGTGTGTGTGTGTGTGTGTGTGTTTGTGTGACCAAGCCCTCTTGGCCACTGGGTGTGTCTGCGAGGAATGGAGATGCTGCTGCTGAGACTGGAGAGTCGCCCATGACGATGACACTAACCTGACTGCTAGCGTCGTTAGCCATGATAGAGATGAGCAGCAGGGTAGTGTAAACAGAACTTCTAACAAAATTTTGACAGTAAAAACACAAGATGCCGCTGAGACTAGAGAGTCAGCCCATAACGTGACTGCTGGGCCAATGCACACAAGGTTGCAGAGCTCTCGGTTCCGGGCCAGAATGAAGCCACCCACAAATGTAGAGGTTGCCTCTCACGACGGCCTCCCAGCTCTTCGTGTCGTCTCAAGAGCGTTTGGCGCTTTCGTGTTCCTTGGCACAGGCAAATGCTAAGAAAATAGCCGAGTTCCTCTCGCCAGCCACCCTCGAGTGCAGAGGGTGTTCTACGCCGGTGTGCCAGCATGGCTTTGGTGCTTTCTAACCCATGATCCTGTGCTTTCTTGTTCCTTTGAACAGGCGATCGCTCAGAAAAATGCTGATTTCCTGGTCAGCCACCCTCGATTGGAGAGGGTGCTCTATGCCGGTCTGCCAGGTGACTCTCAGGCAGAATCAGGCGTCATCTTCCCCCAATTGCCTGCTGCTTCTTTGCAGGCCAATGCACAGAAGATAGCCGAGTTCCTCGCCAGCCACGCTCGAGTGGAGAGGGTGTTCTACGCCGGTCTGCCCTCGCATGCCAACCGCGACCTGCACTTCTCTCAGGTGAGTTCCTAGCCGATGCCATTCTCCCACACCCAGTGAGGGAGAGTGCCGCACGTCTCCCAATCCACACACACGATGAGTGAGGGTGCTCTGTTCTGTTCTATGCCGGTCTGCCCTCGCATGCCAACCGCGACCTGCACTTCTCTCAGGTGCTGCTCTCAGGTACTTCATCAGGCGCGTTTCCTGAGGTCCTTCTCATGTATACTTCAGGTGCTTTTTCTCAATTGGTGTCTCAGGTATCCTTCGCAGGTGCGACGCTCAGATTCCTCTCTCACATGCAACTCTGAGTTGTGTTACTCACACGACTCTAGGTTGAATTTAGGTGATTCGCCTGAGTGGACTCCCTTTTCGTACGAGCCTTCTCGTCTCCCCCCTTCATCCTTTTTTATCAATTTCCATCAGCCCAAGGGTGCAGGGTCGGTTCTCAGTCCACCACTGTCAAGTCGACAGGGTTTTTCCTGCTCTTTTCTTTGGTTTGTTTGTTGCACCATCCTTCTCGTTCTGGTGTTCATTCCTCTTCTCAGGCCAAGGGTGCGGGGTCGGTGCTCAGTTTCAACACAGGCAACATCAACGCGTCGAAGCACATTGTTGAGACAATGAAGCTTGCCAACATTGCCGTCAGCTTCGGTAAGAGGAGACATGTCGGTATGAGAACGCACTACTTCGTGGCGCGTCAAGCACGTGATGAGTGCGTCTAAGCACATTGTTGAGACAATGAAGCTTGCCAACATTTCTGTCAGCTTCGGTGAGAGGGGACCATGTTGGGTGAGAGAAAACGCTTTTTCTGTGGCGTGTCAAGCACATAAGCAGTTCATCAAAGCACATCGTTGAGTTGAGACGATGAAACTCGAGCTGAGAGCACATCAACATTGCTGTCAGCTTCGGTGAGATGTGAGACCGAAGTTTCAAGTACATTGTCCGAGGCGGTCGGCAACCAACCTCAAGGCACGTAGTCAATGAACATTGTCCGAGGCGGTCGGCAACCAATCTCAAGGCACATAGTCAATGTACATTGTCCGAGGCGGTCGGCAACCAATCTCAAGGTACATAGTCAATGTACATTGTCCGAGGCGGTCGGCAGCCAATCTCAAGGCACATAGTCAATGTACATTGTCCGAGGCGGTCGGCAACCAATCTCAAGGCACATAGTCAATGTACATTGTCCGAGGCGGTCGGCAACCAATCTCAAGGCACATAGTCAATGTAAGGAGTCTTTTTTTTTGGCGCCTAAAAAATAGACTCCATAGTCAACGAAGCACATCGTTGAGACGATGAAGCTGGCCAACATTGCCGTCAGCTTCGGTGAGAGGAGGCAGTTTTTGGTGTGGATGATACTGTATGAGTCTATCACATATATTTCTGCCTCTTACCTATGTTTCTGTTGCTTAGTGTTCCAACGCTGCGAGGCAACCCAACTGTGTGAACCGTGTTGCGCTGTGTGCCTGTATTGAATGCATGACTGCATTCCTACGTGACTTGACTACGTCATGCATGTCCCCACTGTGATTTTATTGCATGCCATGGCTGTACTGCATGGTGGTGTGACTATTCCGAGGGGCTTACAGGCAGTGTGGCCACATCCATCAGCCTGCCGTGCTTCATGTCGCATGCCAGCATACCGGCTGAAGTGCGCAAGGAGAGGGGCCTGGTCGAAGACCTCATTCGCCTCTCGGTGAGTGTGCATCCCCCTCTCCCGCACCCCCTTCATTCTAAGCTGTCGTTCGTGCTTTCTCTCCCCTCTTGAACTGCATATGTAATCACCCCACGTGTGTTTTGGAAATGCAATTTGTTTCGTCATGTGCTATAGGTGGGCATCGAGGACGTGGATGACCTCATTGCTGATTTGGGGAACGCCATAGACACAGCTCCATTTTCATAAGTTAACATTGAATTTCGAACACATGGGAGTAGGTAGATACTCCTTTTTACTTCGGCATAAAATGCATTATGGAATCTTTGTAAGATGTGAATTTGAGATCTAGGCTAATCCATGTACATTAGCACAACACAACTTGCAGCAACACGTCATCCTCATGCAAGCCTATCCCTTCGCTGGGTTGACGTCAGAATGGTGTGAGCAGATGGTTTGACGAATCTTCCATTTTTCCATTTCGTTTCGCGCCAGGCACGGCTCGGGCTGTGGTTCGATGTCCCTTCACCACAGCTGATTTGCGGGCTGTAAGCAGCGCCCAGCAAAATAGGAGAATGAAGCTAATATTATCCAGCTGCTGGCGTGGGATCTTAACCGCTGCTACTTAGATTGCACAGCCACCCAAATTTCCTTCGATAGGCTGAGGAAGTCCACCGAAATACACTTGAAAAGGAGCAGTAAATGCAAATTACACTAATAAGACGTAATTGTACTGAGAAGGCAAATTCCTGGAACCATCAAAAACTTTGCACGGGCTAGCTGCTGGCAGATTCTGCTGGCAGCTGTTTCAGGCATACAGAACATAAGGGAGAGACAACACAAAAAGGCATGGAACGTCAATCCCAAGGCAAGGATTTTCGCACCTTCCCATACCCCTCCACTACTCCCCAGACCGCCTCACCGCACTTGACCACACCAGGACAGAGCAGCTTCTGTTTCACTTGATCACATGAGACAGCACCCTCCAGCAGCAGGCACACACAAAGCTAACCCACAGGAGAAACAGCGAGACAGCTTTATAAACTCATTCGGAGAGGGAATCACTAGGTTCACGAATTTGCTTTCCGTCGACAGGACACTGAAGTGGGTCTAGCAGGTTAGGGATGGCCTGCGTCGTTGCTTCTTTTTCTCAGATTTCATTCAGGAAGGGTATTTTTTGGGGCGGATCAGTAGAGTAATCTGCCTTGTGTTGCCGAAACCACGGTCTCTGACAGACCTGGCGGTAGGAGGACGTAAGGCCTCGTGACGCAGTAGTAGTTTCCATTTTTTTTTTTTCGGAGAACCGGTTTTTTAGCATGCGATACCTTCCGTACCGTCAGGTTCATCGTCGTCCTTCGAGTCGTCTTTTATGGAGGATCTTATCGAAGCGATCTGGCCACATCTATTCCCGTCCTGGTCCGAAGCATTAACCGCGTTAATAGCCGCCTCGTTAGTAGCCTTCCTCCTCTATCTCACCAAATCCAAAGACGATGCGGAATCTTCCTCTCGAAACGCTTCGGCCGCGTCTGCCGGGAAAACCGGCGTGAATGGCGGGGGGGAGGATGAGAGCTGGGAGGAGGCCAGCCGACGTGTCAGGGAGCGGCAAGCCCGCGCGTTACTCGCTGCGCCAGATCCCCTCACCGCCGCTCTCGCCATCCCCGTGCGCCAGCTGGCAGCCGTTGATTCGAGGAGAGTGGCCGCGGTTCCCGTGACCGCGCAGCCGCTGCTAGGGCTGAATTCTAAGGAGGTAGTTAAGAAGGGGATCGGTTCGAGAGCACGGCCAAGACAGGATGTGATGCAGTTAGCAGTGGCGACGCCGGGGGTAGGGGGAACGGATGGGGGAGGGAAAGGGGGAGTGGAGGGAGGAGGGAGGAAAGGAGGGGGGGAAGGGAGGGCTGCTGCGGGTGGGAATACTCAAGAAGAAACGCTTATACCTGTGGTGAGTCAGCTCATAGCGATTACTCGTCTTTCTCCAACCCACGCTATCCTGTCTTCCCCCTCACTTTCTGCGCTAATTAAGACGGCTTACTACCAGTATTAACTTTCTGCAATCCTCAACTCCACCCAGCGTCAAGCTGTGAGCACATAATTTATTTGCTTCCCGCTGAAACACCCTATCCCCGCTATGGTCTCCCCCACAGGCCATCATCCCCAACCAGTCCCTTTCATGCGCGGACGCCCTCCCCCCTGCGCCAGTCCCCCTGGGCGCAGCAGTCTCTGCTGCTCCCGCTTCCGCAACTGCAGGCGCGGATGGGGAGGGGAAAAGGAGCGCCCTAGGGCATATTCGCGGAGGGGAATCCCTGGACAACTTTCCTTTACTGAGTAAAGTTACTGCTGATGCTGCTGCTGCTGCTGCTGCTGCTGCTGCTAATTCTGGTGCTGGTGGCGCTGCTGCTGGGAACGTTCTTGCTGCTGCTTCAGGCGCTGCTGCTTTTGCTGGTGACAGAACCAACGGTCCAGATTCGACCGGTGGTGGAACTCCTGACACGGAACCAGAGAAGAAGGAACCGCAGTGGGAAGGGATCCGACGGTCAGCATCAGACACAGCAGCGATTTCAGCCCTGTTAACGGCTGGTGGGGCTGCGTTTACTGCTGGAAGAACAGGGGGAGGCGCAGGGGGGGGCGTAGGGGGGGGAGCAGGCGGAGGGGGGAGTGGGGCAATTGGTACAAAGGCGGAACCAGTTGCAGGAAGGCCAATATCTCCTATGGCGCCTCAACCCATGATCTATGAAGTGAAGGTGAGTTGAGCGTCCGATCTCTTCTGAGTCGACTCAAAATGACTTTTGAGTCGACTCAGAACTCAAAAGTCATCTCGGAAGGCCAACATATATCTCCTATGGCGCCTCAACCCATGATCTATGAAGTGAAAGTGAGTTGAGCGTCCGATCCGATCGCTTCCTCCCAGCCCTTGCGTCTCCATCTCCCTGCTCTTTCCTCTCCGTCCTTTCCCCCCTCCCTCTCCTCCCCGCCCTCCCTCCTTTCCCTCTCTCCCTCTCGCCTCACCCGCCTCGTTCTCTCCTCCAGTCCTCTCCACCTTCCATTTCCGGCACTCCTTCCCTTCCACTCTTCCTTATCTCCTCCCCCCCGACCTCCAGTTTTTAGGCGCCTCAAAACTACCCTCCTTTCCCTCTCTCCCACTCGCCTCACCCGCCTCCTTCTCTCCTCCAGTTCTCTCCACCTTCCATTTCCGGCACTCCTTCCCTTCCACTCTTCCTTATCTCCTCCCCCCCGATCTCCAGTTTTGAGGCGCCTCAAAACTACCCTCCTTTCCCTCTCTCCCACTCGCCTCACCCGCCTCCTTCTCTCCTCCAGTCCTCTCCACCTTCCATTTCCGGCACTCCTTCCCTTCCACTCTTCTTTATCTCCTCTCCCCCCGACCTCCCCTTCCCTGTGCAACCAACTCTAGCTTCCCAAGGATCCGCTATTGCAATGCAAGCCTCCGTGAGTCCGTGGTAATAGCGGATCAACCATTTGATTCCTCCATCCGCAATCCCTCACCTCACCCCCTCCCCCTCCCCCAGGTTGATCTTCTGGCGGCGAAGAACCTGCCTGCTGCTAACATTAGCGGCACTGCGGATCCCTATGCCATTGTTTCATGCGGCACGGAAAGACGATTCAGGTGCGTTGTGTGTGTGTGTGGGAGGGGTGGGGGAGGGAGGGTGTGTGTGTGTGTGTGTGTGTGTGTGTGTGTGTGTGTGATGCATGCTTGGAAGATTCTCGTTCCACTCTCCCTGGTTCCCAAAAGTCGCGCTGTTTGACCGACTCTGCCCACACCAGTTCGGTCATCCCACCCACCCCATGTGGGCTGAGGAGCTTCGTTTCTGTGCACTGTCCTCCTCCTATCTACTTTATGACGCCTCTTTCCCCTCCCATCCCTCTCCCAATGCTGCACCGACCGACCCCCTCTACGGTCTACCCCTCAACACCGCATAAACCTGTTCCATCATCCCAGGCTCCCATCCCCCCCCTCTCGTCCCCCCGCCCTCCTTCCTCCTTCCAAACGCTGCACTCGCACCAGTTCCAAGCCCTCCTTCCTCCTTCCCGTTCCCCTCCCAACGCTGCACTCGCACCCGTTCCGTCATCCCCAGCTGCCACAACCCCAAGTGGGCAGAGGAAGTGCGCTTCTGTGCACGGTCGGTCTTATACACTCTCTCCCCCCCTCTCATCCCTTTCCTTATGCTGCACCACCGACCGTCTTGTGTGTTCCCTGTGGTATATGCACCCCTCCAAACTCCCTCCCCTCCCCGTCCCAATGCCGCCCCTGACTGACTCCCTCTCTCCCCCACACCAGCTCCGTCATCCCCAGCTCCCGCAACCCCATGTGGGCGGAGGAGTCTCGTTGCTGTGCGCTGTCTGATACACTCCCCTTCTCTGAGGCGCCTCAAAAATCGTCTCAACTCAGGAGGAGTTTCGTTGCTGTGCGCTGTCTTATACACTCCCCTTCTCCCCTCCCGTCTCCCTCCCATCCCTGTCCCAATGCTGCCCTGACCCCCCCTGTTCCCCTCACCAGCTCCGTCATTCCCAGCTCCCGCAACCCCATGTGGGCGGAGGAGTTTCGTTGCTGTGCGCTGTCTTATACACTCCCCTTCTCCCCTCCCGTCTCCCTCCCATCCCTGTCCCAATGCTGCCCTGACCCCCCCTGTTCCCCTCACCAGCTCCGTCATCCCCAGCTCTCGCAACCCCATGTGGGCGGAGGAGTTTCGCTTCTTCTCCCCCTGTCTCCCCGCCTTGGTGGGTCCTCTGCATTCGCCTGCATTTTTTTTTTCTCTCCTTTTAGGCACAAGAATAGCGAGTCCTCTGCACTCGCTCGAGTTTATCCTCGACCTGTGTTCTCGGCACTTGGAAATCCTCAACCTGGGTAAGGGACCTCCTTTCAGGCGTTTAGATGTGCAGTGAACGAGTTAGGGAAGGACACAAGGAGGACCCAGATGTGCTCCTGCTGGACATGGTGCACGCGTTGCTCTTTTCAGTTGACAAAAAAATCCCCAACCTGGGCAAGGGACCTTCTTTTAGGCGTTTGGAGAGCCCCTCCCCCCAGATCCAGATGTGTTCCTGTTGAACGTGCAGTGCACGTGTTGCATGTGTTGGGGAAGGACACAAGGAGTGCGCTCTTGAGTCGACTCAGAAGCAGACACAAGGAGCACCCAGATGTGTTCCTGTTGGACGTGGTGCACGTGTTGTGTTGCATGTGTTTGTTGTGACTAAATGCGTATGTGATTGTATTGCAGATATCGGTGCACATGTACGATTGGGACATCATATCAAAGAACGCAGAGCTCGGTGCCGCGTCCCTGCTGGTGGAAGGGGAGGCGCTGCCTTTCACGGCTTGGTACCCCCTGGACAAGGGCCTGGGGCAGGTGAGCGCGTCTAGGGTTAGGCTCTGCCTCTCACTGCTTATCATCTCTTTAAGTCTGCTGCTGGAGGGAGAGGCGCTGCCTTTCACGGCTTGGTACCCCCTGGACAAGGGCCTGGGGCAGGTGCGTTGCTTATGCGGATTTCAGGTGACTTTCGTCTGGGTCTAGGGTTTCAAAACTACTTTGGTGGAAGGAGAGGCCCCCATTTCACGGGGTGGTACCCTCTCGACAAGGGCTTGGGGCAGGTGAGTGAATGTTACTAGAAGCTCATTTTGACACTGATTGTTGAGTGTATTGATGGAATGGTAGGTTCTCAGTTCCACGGCTTAGTCGACTGACCCTATGCACCACCAGTGGGCAATGTCTTGAAACAGGTGTGTAGATTTGTGTGATTGGTGGATAAGAGGGTGGAGTCGTTTTTGAGAATTCTGAAATATGACTCCGCTCTTAGTGGAGATAGAGGTGACTCTTTAACGAGGATTTTTGGTGCGTTTTTTTCTTTTTCTTTTTTTGGAACTTTTCTATTGGTGACGTCGCTTCTTGACGGGGGAAAATGGTCCTCTTGTTAAACCATGGCCTATGTCTGTTGCCCCCTCCTCCCCCACTTTCCAATCTCAGGTGTGCCTGCAACTGCAGGTCACAGCCGTACCAAGGAATAAAATGGACAGGTTTGTCTCCTGCCTTGTCTTTGTATTGCCTTGCATGGCCTTGCCTTCGTCTTCTCTCGTATGTTAGCATGTCCGCTCGTTATTACCGCGGTATCCCCCTCTACAATGCTACAGCCTGAATAGGTGTATTTTTTAGAATTCTAAAAAACACCCTACAGCCTGAAAAGGCTTATTTTTGAGAATTCTCAAGAACACCCTACAGCCTGAATAGGCGTATGACGATTCTGTTGTGTGACGATTCTGTAGTGTGACGATTCTGTTGTGTGACGATTCTGTTGTGTGACGATTCTGTTGTATGAGATTATGTTCTGTTGTATGACGATTCTGTTGTGTGACGATTCTGTTGTGTGACGAGTCTGCATTTGGCGGAATGAATAGGCGTTGTCTATCCTTCATTCTCTTGCAGTTCGCCCTTGTGTCCGGCATCCCTGTTCTGCTGTCTCATGTTACCGATGCAGGTTTTATCGATGCAGGCTTACCGATGCAGGTTTACCGATGCAGGTTTTACCGATGCAGGTTTTACCGATGCAGGTTTTACCTATGCAGGTTTTGCCGATGCAGGTTTTACCGATGCAGGTTTACCGACGCCAGCACTGCAGCAAAAGGAGCAGTCATGTCATTGTCCACTTCCCCAGCAACTCCCTCCCCCCCCCCCCCCCTCTCTCCCCTCTCTCCTCTCTTCTCCACCCCACCCCCCCCCAACCAACCGTGTGATTGTCTTTTGCAGCACCGCAGCCAAAGGGGCAGCCATGGCGTCGTCCCGCTTGCGGCGGCTGTCCCAGCAGCCGATGGGTGCCGGTGTAGGGGCAGGAGACAAGCCGGATAAGCAAGGAGGCGAAGGCACGGAGGGGGAGAGGCCGGAGCAGGAACAATCAGGGGGGGGCACAGAGGTGCGGGAGAAGCCAGGTCCCCTGCAGACGACTTTTGGGCTGCCGCTAGACGAGGTATGTGCGTGCTGGGGGGAGAGGGAGTCAGTAATTGGGATGTGGCGGAGGTGGGGTGGGGGGTTTGGCTGCAGTGTGAGGCCGGAGCAGCAGCAAGCAGGGGGGAGCACAGAGGCGCGGGAGAAGCCTTGACCACTGCAGACGACTTTTGGGCTGCCGTGAGATGAGGTGCGTGAGTTGGGGGGGAGGGGGGGGGGGGGGGGGGTGAGGAAGGGGGGACAGCGGGGCTGTATGTACGTGTGTGGGTGTGGAGGGAGAGGGGCCACTGGTGTGGAGGGAGAGCGGCCGCTGGTGTGGAGGGAGAGCGGCCGGAGCAGCAGCAATCAGGAAGGGGCACAGAGGTCCGGGAGAAGCCGGGTTCTCTGCAGACGACTTTCTTGCTGCCGCCAGACGAGACGAGGTGTGTGTGTACACATGGGGCCTGTTATCCGGCACTCCTCCTTGCGTGTTCTGGAGAGGCCTTTCTTCTACCACGGCCGCATGTTTCTCTCCGGTTCACACCTGTAGTGCCAGGGCCCCCTCCCCTCCCCCGCCCAACCCTCCGGCTCCAACCCTCTCCTCCAGGTCATTCGGCACTCCTTCTCGTGTGCACTGTGAGCACTCGTTTATCTACCACTGCCCATGTTCCTCTCCGGCTCGCACCCGTGCATCCACTCCCCCAACACAGCCACCCGCTTCCCCCCCCCCCCCCCTCCCTTTCCTCCCTCCCCCTCCCCCCTCTTTATCCGCCACCAGGTTATCCGCCACTCCTTCTCGTGTGCACTGGAGCGCTCGTTTCTCTACCACGGCCGCATGTTCCTCTCCGGCTCGCACCTGTGCTTCCACTCCAACGTCTTTTCCAAGGAGCTGTCCGTGTGCATTCCGTACCAAGACATAGAGGAGGTGAGGGCACGGAGGGGCAGAGGGCTGGGGAGTGTTCAGTGCAGTGTGTGCTGTACTGTACATTTCCGGGTGTTCCTCTCCCACTCACACGTGTGCTTCCACGCCAACGTTTTCTCCAAGGAGCTGTCCGTGTGCATTCCGTACCAAGGCATAGGAGAGGTGAGGTACAACGGTGCAGTGTGCAACGTGCAACGTGTAAGCAATGAGCAGGTTATCCGATCATATGCCTATTGTACGGAGAACGCTTTTGAGGCGCCTTAATCAAAAGCGTTTAGCAGATTATATGCCTATTGCGCGGAGAACGCTTTTGAGGCGCCTTAATCAAAAGCGTTTAGCAGATTATATGCCTGTTGTGCGGAGAAATTGGAGGTGAGCCAGCCCTGAGGGGAGCCAGCCCTGAGGGGAGCCAGCCCTGAGGGGAGCCAGCCCTGAGGGGAGCCAGCCCTGAGGGGAGCCAGCCCTGAGGGGAGCCAGCCCTGAGGGGAGCCAGCCCTGAGGGGAGCCAGCCTGAGGGGAGCCAGCCCTGAGGGGAGGGGGAGCCAGCCCTGAGGGGAGCCAGCCCTGAGGGGAGCCAGCCCTGAGGGGAGCCAGCCCTGAGGGGAGCCAGCCCTGAGGGGAGCCAGCCCTGAGGGGAGCCAGCCCTGAGGGGAGCCAGCCCTGAGGGGAGCCAGCCCTGAGGGGAGCCAGCCCTGAGGGGAGCCAGCCCTGAGGGGAGCCAGCCCTGAGGGGAGCCAGCCCTGAGGGGAGCCAGCCTGAGGGAGCCAGCCCTGAGGGGAGCCAGCCCTGAGGGGAGCCAGCCCTGAGGGGAGCCAGCCCTGAGGGGAGCCAGCCCTGAGGGGAGCCAGCCCTGAGGGGAGCCAGCCCTGAGGGGAGCCAGCCCTGAGGGGAGCCAGCCCTGAGGGGAGCCAGCCCTGAGGGGAGCCAGCCCTGAGGGGAGCCAGCCCTGAGGGGAGCCAGCCCTGAGGGGAGCCAGCCCTGAGGGGAGCCAGCCCTGAGGGGAGCCAGCCTGAGGGGAGCCAGCCCTGAGGGGAGCCAGCCCTGAGGGGAGCCAGCCCTGAGGGGAGCCAGCCCTGAGGGGAGCCAGCCCTGAGGGGAGCCAGCCCTGAGGGGAGCCAGCCCTGAGGGGAGCCAGCCCTGAGGGGAGCCAGCCCTGAGGGGAGCCAGCCCTGAGGGGAGCCAGCCCTGAGGGGAGCCAGCCCTGAGGGGAGCCAGCCCTGAGGGGAGCCAGCCCTGAGGGGAGCCAGCCCTGAGGGGAGCCAGCCCTGAGGGGAGCCAGCCCTGAGGGGAGCCAGCCCTGAGGGGAGCCAGCCCTGAGGGGAGCCAGCCCTGAGGGGAGCCAGCCCTGAGGGGAGCCAGCCCTGAGGGGAGCCAGCCCTGAGGGGAGCCAGCCCTGAGGGGAGCCAGCCCTGAGGGGAGCCAGCCCTGAGGGGAGCCAGCCCTGAGGGGAGCCAGCCCTGAGGGGAGCCAGCCCTGAGGGGAGCCAGCCCTGAGGGGAGCCAGCCCTGAGGGGAGCCAGCCCTGAGGGGAGCCAGCCCTGAGGGGAGCCAGCCCTGAGGGGAGCCAGCCCTGAGGGGAGCCAGCCCTGAGGGGAGCCAGCCCTGAGGGGAGCCAGCCCTGAGGGGAGCCAGCCCTGAGGGGAGCCAGCCCTGAGGGGAGCCAGCCCTGAGGGGAGCCAGCCCTGAGGGGAGCCAGCCCTGAGGGGAGCCAGCCCTGAGGGGAGCCAGCCCTGAGGGGAGCCAGCCCTGAGGGGAGCCAGCCCTGAGGGGAGCCAGCCCTGAGGGGAGCCAGCCCTGAGGGGAGCCAGCCCTGAGGGGAGCCAGCCCTGAGGGGAGCCAGCCTGAGGGGAGCCAGCCCTGAGGGGAGCCAGCCCTGAGGGGAGCCAGCCTGAGGGGAGCCAGCCCTGAGGGGAGCCAGCCCTGAGGGGAGCCAGCCCTGAGGGGAGCCAGCCCTGAGGGAGCCAGCCCTGAGGGGAGCCAGCCCTGAGGGGAGCCAGCCCTGAGGGGAGCCAGCCCTGAGGGGAGCCAGCCCTGAGGGAGCCAGCCCTGAGGGGAGCCAGCCCTGAGGGGAGCCAGCCCTGAGGGGAGCCAGCCCCTGAGGGGAGCCAGCCCTGAGGGGAGCCAGCCCTGAGGGGAGCCAGCCCTGAGGGGAGCCAGCCCTGAGGGGAGCCAGCCCTGAGGGGAGCCAGCCCTGAGGGGAGCCAGCCCTGAGGGGAGCCAGCCCTGAGGGGAGCCAGCCCTGAGGGGAGCCAGCCCTGAGGGGAGCCAGCCCTGAGGGGAGCCAGCCCTGAGGGGAGCCAGCCCTGAGGGGAGCCAGCCCTGAGGGGAGCCAGCCCTGAGGGGAGCCAGCCCTGAGGGGAGCCAGCCCTGAGGGGAGCCAGCCCTGAGGGGAGCCAGCCCTGAGGGGAGCCAGCCCTGAGGGGAGCCAGCCCTGAGGGGAGCCAGCCCTGAGGGGAGCCAGCCCTGAGGGGAGCCAGCCCTGAGGGGAGCCAGCCCTGAGGGGAGCCAGCCTGAGGGGAGCCAGCCCTGAGGGGAGCCAGCCCTGAGGGGAGCCAGCCCTGAGGGGAGCCAGCCCTGAGGGGAGCAGCCCTGAGGGGAGCCCCTGAGGGGAGCCAGCCCTGAGGGGAGCCAGCCCTGAGGGGAGCCAGCCCTGAGGGGAGCCAGCCCTGAGGGGAGCCAGCCCTGAGGGGAGCCAGCCCTGAGGGGAGCCAGCCCTGAGGGGAGCCAGCCCTGAGGGGAGCCAGCCCTGAGGGGAGCCAGCCCTGAGGGGAGCCAGCCCTGAGGGGAGCCAGCCCTGAGGGGAGCCAGCCCTGAGGGGAGCCAGCCCTGAGGGGAGCCAGCCCTGAGGGGAGCCAGCCCTGAGGGGAGCCAGCCCTGAGGGGAGCCAGCCCTGAGGGGAGCCAGCCCTGAGGGGAGCCAGCCCTGAGGGGAGCCAGCCCTGAGGGGAGCCAGCCCTGAGGGGAGCCAGCCCTGAGGGGAGCCAGCCCTGAGGGGAGCCAGCCCTGAGGGGAGCCAGCCCTGAGGGGAGCCAGCCCTGAGGGGAGCCAGCCCTGAGGGGAGCCAGCCCTGAGGGGAGCCAGCCCTGAGGGGAGCCAGCCCTGAGGGGAGCCAGCCCTGAGGGGAGCCAGCCCTGAGGGGAGCCAGCCCTGAGGGGAGCCAGCCCTGAGGGGAGCCAGCCCTGAGGGGAGCCAGCCCTGAGGGGAGCCAGCCCCTGAGGGGAGCCAGCCCTGAGGGGAGCCAGCCCTGAGGGGAGCCAGCCCTGAGGGGAGCCAGCCCTGAGGGGAGCCAGCCCTGAGGGGGAGAGCCAGCCCTGAGGGGAGCCAGCCCTGAGGGGAGCCAGCCCTGAGGGGAGCCAGCCCTGAGGGGAGCCAGCCCTGAGGGGAGCCAGCCCTGAGGGGAGCCAGCCCTGAGGGGAGCCAGCCCTGAGGGGAGCCAGCCCTGAGGGGAGCCAGCCCTGAGGGGAGCCAGCCCTGAGGGGAGCCAGCCCTGAGGGGAGCCAGCCCTGAGGGGAGCCAGCCCTGAGGGGAGCCAGCCCTGAGGGGAGCCAGCCCTGAGGGGAGCCAGCCCTGAGGGGAGCCAGCCCTGAGGGGAGCCAGCCCTGAGGGGAGCCAGCCCTGAGGGGAGCCAGCCCTGAGGGGAGCCAGCCCTGAGGGGAGCCAGCCCTGAGGGGAGCCAGCCCTGAGGGGAGCCAGCCCTGAGGGGAGCCAGCCCCTGAGGGGAGCCAGCCCTGAGGGGAGCCAGCCCTGAGGGGAGCCAGCCCTGAGGGGAGCCAGCCCTGAGGGGAGCCAGCCCTGAGGGGAGCCAGCCCTGAGGGGAGCCAGCCCTGAGGGGAGCCAGCCCTGAGGGGAGCCAGCCCTGAGGGGAGCCAGCCCTGAGGGGAGCCAGCCCTGAGGGGAGCCAGCCCTGAGGGGAGCCAGCCCTGAGGGGAGCCAGCCCTGAGGGGAGCAGCCCTGAGGGGAGCCAGCCCTGAGGGGAGCCAGCCCTGAGGGGAGCCAGCCCTGAGGGGAGCCAGCCCTGAGGGGAGCCAGCCCTGAGGGGAGCCAGCCCTGAGGGGAGCCAGCCCTGAGGGGAGCCAGCCCTGAGGGGAGCCAGCCCTGAGGGGAGCCAGCCCTGAGGGGAGCCAGCCCTGAGGGGAGCCAGCCCTGAGGGGAGCCAGCCCTGAGGGGAGCCAGCCCTGAGGGGAGCCAGCCCTGAGGGGAGCCAGCCCTGAGGGGAGCCAGCCCTGAGGGGCAGCCCTGAGGGAGCCAGCCCTGAGGGGAGCCAGCCCTGAGGGGAGCCAGCCCTGAGGGGAGCCAGCCCTGAGGGGAGCCAGCCCTGAGGGGAGCCAGCCCTGAGGGGAGCCAGCCCTGAGGGGAGCCAGCCCTGAGGGGAGCCAGCCCTGAGGGGAGCCAGCCCTGAGGGGAAGCCAGCCCTGAGGGGAGCCAGCCCTGAGGGGAGCCAGCCCTGAGGGGAGCCAGCCCTGAGGGGAGCCAGCCCTGAGGGAGCCAGCCCTGAGGGGAGCCAGCCCTGAGGGGAGCCAGCCCTGAGGGGAGCCAGCCCTGAGGGGAGCCAGCCCTGAGGGGAGCCAGCCCTGAGGGGAGCCAGCCCTGAGGGGGAGCCAAGCCCTGAGGGAGCCAGCCCTGAGGGGAGCCAGCCCTGAGGGGAGCCAGCCCTGAGGGGAGCCAGCCCTGAGGGGAGCCAGCCCTGAGGGGAGCCAGCCCTGAGGGGAGCCAGCCCTGAGGGGAGCCAGCCCTGAGGGGAGCCAGCCCTGAGGGGACCAGCCCTGGGGGAGCCAGCCCTGAGGGAGCCAGCCCTGAGGGGAGCCAGCCCTGAGGGGAGCCAGCCCTGAGGGGAGCCAGCCCTGAGGGGAGCCAGCCCTGAGGGGAGCCAGCCCTGAGGGGAGCCAGCCCTGAGGGGAGCCAGCCCTGAGGGGAGCCAGCCCTGAGGGGAGCCAGCCCTGAGGGGAGCCAGCCCTGAGGGGAGCCAGCCCTGAGGGGAGCCAGCCCTGAGGGGAGCCAGCCCTGAGGGGAGCCAGCCCTGAGGGGAGCCAGCCCTGAGGGGAGCCAGCCCTGAGGGGAGCCAGCCCTGAGGGGAGCCAGCCCTGAGGGGAGGCCAGCCCTGAGGGGAGCCAGCCCTGAGGGGAGCCAGCCCTGAGGGGAGCCAGGGGGAGCAGCCCTGAGGGGAGCCAGCCCTGAGGGGAGCCAGCCCTGAGGGGAGCCAGCCCTGAGGGGAGCCAGCCCTGAGGGGAGCCAGCCCTGAGGGGAGCCAGCCCTGAGGGGAGCCAGCCCTGAGGGGAGCCAGCCCTGAGGGGAGCCAGCCCTGAGGGGAGCCAGCCCTGAGGGGAGCCAGCCCTGAGGGGAGCCAGCCCTGAGGGGAGCCAGCCCTGAGGGGAGCCAGCCCTGAGGGGGAGCCGGGGGCAGCCCTGAGGGGAGCCAGCCCTGAGGGGAGCCAGCCCTGAGGGGAGCCAGCCCTGAGGGGAGCCAGCCCTGAGGGGAGCCAGCCCTGAGGGGAGCCAGCCCTGAGGGGAGCCAGCCCTGAGGGGAGCCAGCCCTGAGGGGAGCCAGCCCTGAGGGGAGCCAGCCCTGAGGGGAGCCAGCCCTGAGGGGAGCCAGCCCTGAGGGGAGCCAGCCCTGAGGGGAGCCAGCCCTGGAGGGGAGCCAGCCCTGAGGGGAGCCAGCCCTGAGGGGAGCCAGCCCTGAGGGGAGCCAGCCCTGAGGGGAGCCAGCCCTGAGGGGGAGCCAGCCTGAGGGGAGCCAGCCCTGAGGGGGAGCCAGCCCTGAGGGGAGCCAGCCCTGAGGGGAGAGCCAGCCCTGAGGGGGAAGCCAGCCCTGAGGGGAGCCAGCCCTGAGGGGAGCCAGCCCTGAGGGGAGCCAGCCCTGAGGGGAGCCAGCCCTGAGGGGAGCCAGCCCTGAGGGAGGCGAGCCAGCCCTGAGGGGAGCCAGCCCTGAGGGGAGCCAGCCGGCTGAGGGGCAGTGAGGGAGCCAGCCTGAGGGGAGCCAGCCCTGAGGGGAGCCAGCCCTGAGGGGAGCCAGCCCTGAGGGGAGCCAGCCCTGAGGGGAGCCAGCCCTGAGGGGAGCCAAGCCCTGAGGGGAGCCAGCCCTGAGGGGAGCCAGCCCTGAGGGGCAGGAGGGCCAGCCCTGAGGGGAGCCAGCCCTGAGGGGAGCCAGCCCTGAGGGGAGCCAGCCCTGAGGGGAGCCAGCCCTGAGGGGAGCCAGCCCTGAGGGGAGCCAGCCCTGAGGGGAGCCAGCCCTGAGGGGAGCCAGCCCTGAGGGGAGCCAGCCCTGAGGGGAGCCCAGCCAGCCCTGAGGGGAGCCAGCCCTGAGGGGAGCCAGCCCTGAGGGGAGCCAGCCCTGAGGGGAGCCAGCCCTGAGGGGAGCCAGCCCTGAGGGGAGCCAGCCCTGAGGGGAGCCAGCCCTGAGGGGAGCCAGCCTGAGGGGAGCCAGCCCTGAGGGGAGCCAGCCCTGAGGGGAGCCAGCCCTGAGGGGAGCCAGCCCTGAGGGGAGCCAGCCCTGAGGGGAGCCAGCCCTGAGGGGAGCCAGCCCTGAGGGGAGCCAGCCCTGAGGGGAGCCAGCCCTGAGGGGAGCCAGCCCTGAGGGGAGCCAGCCCTGAGGGGAGCCAGCCCTGAGGGGAGCCAGCCCTGAGGGGAGCCAGCCCTGAGGGGAGCCAGCCCTGAGGGGAGCCAGCCCTGAGGTGAGCCAGCCCTGAGCCAGCGAGATCCCCTCAGCATTTTTTTTCCTAATTACATTAATGCACTCCCAACTGCCCATTCCTGATGCAACCCCTGTGAGGTTTGTGGTGGCATACACACACTCGCTGACCAATCCTCGCACTCCCTACCAGTTTTGCCCAATCCTGCGTCCATCCCCATTCTCGAACCACTTCCATTCTCAACCATTTCGCATTCCCATTCCCAGTTTTGAGGCGCCTCAAAACTAGACTCCTATCACGCGGTTTTGAGGTGCCTCAAGACCATCCCCATTCCCGAACCACTTCCAATCCCAACCTTTTCGCATTCCCGTTCGCTGACCGTGCCAAGTTTAACGCAGTGCACAGTCCCTGACCCCGACCAACCGTCACGCGCCCCAAGTCTGCCCATTCCTGTGCCCATTCCCATTCCCGAACCTCACCACGCCAGGTTCGTCGCAGCACGCATGCGCTGATCAACCCAGCCATCACGGTGGTGCTGCATCTGGGGACAGGGGGTCACGGGGTGCCTCCCCTTCCTTCTCCTGATGGTGAGTGACGATCCGAGGGAGCTCACTTACGTTCTGATGGTGAGTGACGATCCGAGGGATCTCACTTACGTCCTCATGGTGAGTGACGATCCGAGGGATCTCACTTACGTCCTGATGGTGAGCCCCACGTTGGTTGGAATAGCATGCATCGTTCCATCCATCAACATGCATGCATCGTTCCATCCATCAATATGCATGCATGCATCGTTCCATCCATCAACATGCATGCATGCATCGTTCCATCCATCAACATGCACGGACTCATCACAGCAGCTATCACGGTGTTGCTTCTGTCAGCGTCTTCTCTCTTGTACGCTTAACTACTTCCACGCCTCATTTTCATTTTCAGGTGCATTTGGCAATCGAGAGCCTCGTCCGGTCTGCTGTTTCAACATGGTGAAGCTGCACCATTCTGGAAGCAAGCCTATGCCATGTCCTTGTTGGGTTCTGACTCCGCACTCCCCCCTCCCATCCCGTTAAATCTCCCTCGCATCCCCTCTCACCCCCCTCAAAGTCCCCTCACATCTTCCTTAAGTCCTGCTCTAATCCCCTTCCTATCCCTCTCTCAGGTCGAGTGAAGTACAAGTTCGCATCGTTCTGGAACAGAGGCCACGCCATGCGCCTGCTGCAGGAAGCAATCGCTGAGTTCTGGAAGATGGAGGAGGCTGCTGCTCTGGTACGCATTCTGTACTCTCTATAGGGTCTCCTGTTGCTTCATATAGAGGCGTGTGGCTGCTGCTGCTGGAGGCAGCTGCTGAGTTCTGGAAGATGGAGGAGGCTGCCGCTCTGGTATGTGCTCCTCTGTACTCGTTTTACACTCTTTTTCTGCTTTGCTTAGAAGTAAGCAACTGCTGCAGGAGGCAATCACTGAGTTCTGGAAGATGGAGGACGCTGCCGCTCCGGCACGCATTCTGTACTCGGTATAAGGTCGCCTGCTGCTATAAATAGAGGCATGTTGCTGCTGTAAGACGCAGTCACTGAGAGCTGGAAGATGAACGAGGCTGCCGCTCTGGTATGGTATGGTATGTAGTCATATGTTGGTCCCCTAGGTAAGCCGTTCCTCGTTTTTGCATTGTCATGGGCCAGCAGCTTCTTGCTCGATGTAGGCTGAAGTCTGAGCAGACGCACAGGCGCAGCTCTTTCTCTTTGTGTGATTTGGCTCATGCAGCTACTTTTGAACGAGGTGTCTTTTGAGTCGGCTGAAGTGTTTCCTCTCCTTTGTGCTCGCTATAGGCTGCTGAAGTTTGAGCAGACGCACAGGCGCAGCTCTTTTTGTGCTTTGGCTCGCGCAGCTGCATCTCAGCAGGTCATTACAGGGAGAGAAAGAGTGCATTAAGAGTATTACAGGGAGAGAAAGTGGATTAAGAAGAGTGTATTACGGGGGAGAAAGTGCATTAAGAATTTAAGAGTGTATTACAGAGAGAGAAAGAGTGCATTAAGAGTATTACAGGGAGAGAAAGTGGATTAAGAAGAGTGTATTACGGGGGGAGAAAGTGCATGAAGAGTGTATTACAGGGAGAGAAAGAGTGCATTAAGAGTGTATTACAGGGAGAGAAAGTGCATTAAGAGTGTATTACAAGGAGAGAAAGTGGATTAAGAAAAGTGTATTACAGGAAGAGAAAGAGTGCATTAAGAGTATCACAGGGAGAGAAAATGGATTAAGAAGAGTATATTACGGGAGGAGAAAGTGATTTTAGAGTGTATTACAGGGAGAGGAAGTGCATTAAGAGTGTATTACAGGGAGAGAAACTGCACTACGAGTGTATTACAGGGAGAGAAAGTGCATTGAGAGTGTAATACAGGGAGAGAAAGTGCATTACGGCGAGAGAAAGAATGGGCTGCGAAGGCCTTACTTCCAGCAGAACAGAACACGGCGACACCGTGTTATCAAAGTGAATTCAAGGTGGTGAACACGGTGTGTGAACTCGATGTGAAATCGATGTGAACTCACAGATTGAGCTCTGCATGGTGACGTTGTAGAGAAATGCTGTGCAGGGGTTTGACTCACTGCTGGCTTGGGCCCGGCTTCGGGTTTGGCTCTGCGGGACAGCATAAACGTAGCCGTTCAACCAACCCCCCATCCGTCCCTCGTCTCTGCATTTGCAGCGGACAACAGAGGTGCCTTTTGAGTCGACTCAAAAGTCACCTCATAAACCTAGCCGCTTCAATCAACCCCCCATCCGTCCCTCATCTCTGCATTTGCAGCGGACAACAGAGGTGCCGTATTGAAGTGGCCGCACTGTTTTCTAGGGAGACGTTAGCTAGGATGAGAATGATCCAGTTGAGTATTTGCACCATAAATGAACAATATGGAAGCATACAAGAAGCAAGAAATCACATGTATAAACTAATAATAAACAAATAAACGAATGAATATATGTACATGCACGTTTATACATATATCATATACACTATTGCAGTGCTGGCTGAATCCCACTTTTGGTGCCTCAATATTGACCCGTCACATCTGCTTAGCTAAGCTGTGTCGAAAGTGGGGAAAATACCCATCTCACTGGGCTGCTTGTTTCAATTCTTCAAACCCTCCATTCTCTCATGCCCCGATCCTATTGCCAAACCCTTGTTACAGACTCACAGTACACAGCAGGAAGAGGAGCAGGATTGCCCACGGGCCCACGGGCCAGCAGCATAAAGGACGGGCGGTGGAGGGGCTTAGCTTTTACGTTGAATGTCGTCATCCCTCGAACCCTCCGTTTTCTCATGCCCATATATATGCTATCCCACATGGCACGAGGAGGAGCAGGATCGGGTACGAGCCAGCAGAATGCAGGACGGGCGGTGGAAGGGGTTGGTTATCTTGTTCACTATACTCTGCCCCCAACCTTTCGCAATTCCCCACCTAAACGCTTCCTCATGTCAGGAGGAGGAGGAGCAGGATTGGCTACGAGCCAGCAGCATGAAGGACGGAGCAGGGGGGCGGTGGGATGTTATGCTTCCTATCCCCAATGACTACACGCTTCCCCTCCTGTCCTCTTTTTTTTTTGTTTTTTTGTTTTTTTGTTTTTTTGTTTTTTTGTCTCCCAATTCCCATGCCAGGAAGAGGAGCAGGACCGGCTACGAGCCAACAGCATGAAGGACGGGGCATTGGAGGGGGTTTCATCACGAGGGGCAGCGGAGGCAGCGGAGGAGGAGAAGCAGCCGTTCCTTGACCTCAGTGTGCTGGAGTCGCTACTGCAGGTGAGCGGGCATTACAAGATACGCCATGTGGTTACCGCATCGACAGTCTGTGCCTCCGTGAAGCATCAAGCAGGGGAGTGGGGGGAGAGGGGGGGGGGGTGTCGTCAAGGGGAGCAGCGGAGGCAGCAGAGGAGGAGAAGCAGCCATTCCTTGATGTCAGCGTGCTGGAGTCGCTGCTGCAGGTGAGGGTTGCATGCAAATTACACACGGTGTGGTGGTTACCACCATGCTACTCTCTGTTTAGAAGCACCTTATAAGCCAGTGGAGGGGGTTTCGTCAAGGGGAGCAGCGGAGGCAGCAGAGGAGAAGCAGCCGTTCCTTGACCTCAGCGTGCTGGTGTAGCTGCTGCAGGTGAGGGTTGCATGCAAATTACACATGGTGTGGTGGTTACCACCATGGTACTCTCTGTTTAGAAGCACCTTATAAGGCAGTGGAGGGGGTTTCGTCAAGGGGAGCAGCGGAGGCAGCAGAGGAGGAGAAGCAGCCGTTCCTTGACTTCAGCATGCTGGAGTCGCTGCTGCAGGTGAGGGTTACAGGGTACACACCATCTGGTTACCACGTCGTGACTTTGAGGTTCCATAAAGCACTAGGGGAGGAAAGGGGTTTATTGAGATGAGCAGCAGCGACAGTGGAGGCAGCGGAGGAGGAGAAGCAGCCGTTTCTTGACCTCAGCGTGCTGGAGTAGCTGCTGCAGGTGAGCGTCACAGCCTCGCGTCATGGTTGCTCCCTCCCTTGCTCCCTCCCTTGCTCCCTCCCTTGCTCCTTCCCTTCCCTCCTACCGCCCTCGAGTTCGAGCTGCCCAGCACAGCTGTCTCGTGCTTCAGCCTCTTCTACTCCGACGTCTCTGACTGTCCGTGAGGAGTCTGTTTTTGAGGCGCCTCAAATGCTTCTAAAATAGACTCCTCACGCATGCTTCAGCCTCTTCTACTCCGACGTCTCTGACTGTCCCTGCTCCTCCCCCTTTCCTCCCATCCTACCCACTCTGGCCTCCTCCTTCCCTACCTTCCCCCGTTCACTCCCTCCCTCCCACCAGTTCGAGGTGCCCTGCACAGCCGATTCGTTCTTCAGCCTCCTCTACTCAGACTCGTCTGACTTTGTTGTTGTGTACCGAGCCAAGCGGAAGGACACGGAGCTCAAGGTGAGGCTCGGGCCACAAGAAGAGGGGGCCGTGAGAAGAGGTGGCCGTGAGAAGAGGGGGCCGTGAGAAGAGGTGGCCGTGAGAAGAGGGGGCCGTGAGAAGAGGTGGCCGTGAGACGAGGGGGCCGTGAGAAGAGGGGGTCGTGAGAAGAAAGGGGTTGTGAGAAGAAAGGGGCCGTGAACAGGCTATGAGCACAGGCTATGAGCACAGGCTATGAGCACAGGCTATGAGCACAGGCTATGTCTTCCCCAAGCTTTGCACACACTTGATTTTTGCTTCTTCTTTCTTTTGCCTTGCTGTCAGACTCACATGATTCTTGTGCCATACTTGTCCTTTGGGGATTTTTGAGTCGACTCAAGTATCTTCGTCTGCCATACTTGTCCTTTGGTGTTTTTTTAGTCGACTCAAGAATCTTGGTCTGCCATACTTCGTCCTTTGCAGGTTGGGGAGTGGAAGGAGACGGAGCAGTACGGAGGAAAGATGAGAGAGGTGAGTGGCTGATGGGGATGGGAGGTACAGGAATGGGTTCGGGGATGTGAGATGTGAGTGGGAGGTGAGTGAGAGGCGAGTGAGAGGTGGTTCAGGTAGTAAGAAGTAAAGAAACTGCTTCTTGACAGGTGAAGATCAGATGTATGGTCTTGCACCAGATGCATGCTTTTACAGTAAAGAAGGAATGGAGGAGAGCTGCTATATGGGGTTTTAGGAGATGGAGAGCGGAGAAGAAACAACTGAACTTGCAGGGTGTTTTTGAGAATTCTCAAAAGCACCCTGCAATTCTCAAAAGCACCCTGCAATTCTCAAAAACACCCTGCAACACCCTGCAATTCTCAAAAACACCCTGCAAAATTTAGGAGATGGAGAGAGGAAATGAAACAACTGAACTTGCAAATTGCAATTGAATTGAGATGGATGAATGCGAATTGCATATTGGGGCGATAATTCCGTGAGGAGCTGGATGGATGGTATAAGAGAAGAAAGTAAGTTCCTCATGCAAAAAACGATATGGAATTTGAAAGCAGTCAATTTTTGCTAGAAAAGATGTGAGGACGATTCTGTGAGGAGCCGGACGGCATCACTCAGAGAAGAAAGCGTGTGTAATGAGTCGATTTTTGAGTCGAATCATTACACACTGGACAGAGGTGACCTTTGAGTCGACTCGAAATGGTGACTTTTGAGTCGACTCAAAAGTCATTTTTGAGTGGACTCATTACACACTTGGCAGCATCACTCAGAGAATAAGCGCTCTCAATGGAAGAATAGATGACCGCCCATGTGCCCACCCTTCACTGCCATGAGTCATGACGGAGTGACAGCACATGGTGTTTTTGAGAATTCTAAAAAACACCCTGCAAAATCGAGTGGCAGCACATGGGCCAAAGCATATGCGTCGGTCTTTCTTACCTCCGCCCCTTCTCCTCCTCCCCCCCTCCCCCTTCCTCCCCTTTCTTTGCATCCCTCTCTCACAGGTGACCTATCGCTCTCTCTGTGACTCGCCCATGTGCCCACCCTCCACTGCCATGACTGAGTGGCAGCACATGGACTTCTCTGGCCCAGACCACAAACAGTTGGTAGGTGTACTCGTCGAGAATTCTCTCACGCCTCCCCCTTCTCCCACCACCACCTGCATGTTTGTTGACCGGCATATTCCACTTGGCTTTTCTACGTCACATCGCGTGATGTCTGGTTCTTGGAGTGAATGAAACATGTTCTTTTTGAGAATTCTAATAAGATTGCAGGGTATTTTGCGGGGTATTTTGCAGGGTATTTTTGAGAATTCTAAAAAGTACCCTGCAAGTTCTTGGAGTTGATGAAACAGGTTCAATACGTGCCGTGCTCCCTATTGAGTCGACTCAAAAGCTTATGCACCCATTCTTCTTGCAACTGACTATTCGTTATCTTCAAACCCTGGTTTTGCTACTGCACTAGATGGCGTTTATCAACAGGGCTCACGGCGATCCGTGCCCTTTTCATTGCATCTAATTCCCTATGTGTTGCCTATGTGTCTCAAACCCCCCCTACCCAGGTGATAGAGTCAATCAATCAGGCACATGATGTGCCCTTTGGGTCCTACTTTGAGGTAAATCCATTGTTGTGGGTTTTAAATCGACTAAGAAATGGTGCGTGAGGGAATGCCACGTGCTTTGTCCTCTGTCATTGTGTCTGTCTGTGTGATCGATCGCACACTTCCCACACCCACGTCTTGACATCCAGTGTCATTCAGTTTTGAGACGTCTCAACTCAAAGCGTTGTTGTCGCTGTCGTTGCGCTGCATGATCACACACTTACCACACCCATGTCTTGAAATTCCATCTCATCCCTTGCATGCCATGCCATGCCATGCCATCCCATGTAGACATGGGCTCTAAACCGAGCCGGCTCGGCTTCCTTTATTGGCGAGCCAAGCCGGCTATTATTTGCCTACGGCTCGCCTCGAGCCGAACCGGCCCGAGGCTCGGCTGAGCTCGGCTCGGGTCGGCTCGACGCACAAACATGACTCGAGCCGGGGTCGAGCCGGCTCGATCCAGCTTGACTGGCATTCTTAACAAATTAAGGAACTGTTACTACCAATAACGTGGGGAGGGATGGCTCTCGAGCCGTCAACAGCCCCTAAAACTGCGGGGGTTCACCAGACGGCCCTTAGACCACCCCAGCCGCCCATCTATCCTGTACCGATCGAGCCGAGCCGACTCGTTTTCGAGCCGGACCCTGGCTCGACCCTGTTTGGGCGAGCCGAGCCGGCAATTTTTTTAGCCCCGCTCGACCTGGATTGGGCCGGCTCGGCTTGCCAGCCCCCTGGATCGACCCTGGCTCGAACTTGGTTTGGGCTAGGCTTGGGCGGGCTCGGCTTGTGCGCATGTCTGATCGCATGTCAATGCATTTTCTTTCTTAGTCGACTAAGGAATGTGGATTTCCCCATTTTTGCGTGCTGTGTTGCATGTGTGCGGTTTTTTTTTTTTTTTTTTTTTTTTTTTTTTTGTCAATTTCCTGCTGTGGTTCTCAGGTGCATGCGCAGTGGACGGTCAGAACGACAACCGACAATCCTGACAGCCCATCATGCAACGCAGAGCTCAAAGCCGGTGGGTTTTCGTGCTGAGCTGTTAGCACGTTACTGTGCAACTGAGTGCCATCTGCAATGCCTGAGCCATGTGCAACGCCTCAGGCGCATGCGCCATGGATGGACCGTCGTCAGGACAACATTATGCAATGTGGTGCAGAGCTCAAAGCAGGTCATTCGGTGGGCTGGGTTGAGCTCTCAGCAGATTAGTGTGCTTTTTGAGAATTCTTAAAGGTCATTCGGTGTGCTGAGCTGAGCTCTCAGCGGATTAGTGTGAAGCTGAGAGCCATGCACCGTCAGGACGACATCATGCAATGCGGACCTCAAAGCAGGTCATTCGGTGTGCTTTGCTGTTTGTTAGCAAACAGGAAGCTGGTCTTTGTGTTTGAGCCCTGAACTGTCTGTTGCGTGGTGTATTTTGCATAGTGCATGCTGCATACTGCCTGATGCAGGGTGCATGTTGCATGATTTATGTTGCATGGTGTGTGTTGCACGATGTATGTTGCACGGTGTATGTTGGATGGGGCATGATGCATGGTGCATATTGCATGGTGTATGGTGCATGGTGCATGGTCCATGGTGCATGATCCAGCCATGGTGCATGATCCATCCATGGTGCATGGTCCAGCCATGGTGCATGATGGTGGTACATTGTGGAGAATCTATAATGCATGTCACCCGTCCAGTCCGGAGCACTTCAAGAAGTGGTCTTGATGCAAGGGAAGCTTCGGCAGGGAGCGGGGGAGGACTAGACTTGCATTGGCTTCTGTTGACCTCTTTTTCAATGCCAATGCCTGTCTGTACATCCTTTCAGGCGTGCATTTCAAGAAGTGGTGCATGATGCAAGGGAAGATTCGGCAGGGAGCGCAGGCGGAGGTGCGTGCGGTGCAGTGCTCTACTGTGTTCGTTGTGCTGGTGATAATAGTTTATGTTTAAGACATCTCAGAACCAGACTGCTCCTCTGTGTTCGTTGTGCTCATTGTGGTGGCTGCCGCCCTGTTTTTGTTGAATGCACCGATTGGTTGTTGCTGCTTCTGCTTTTGAGTCGACTCAGATGCACTGATTGGTTGTTGCTGATTGCACCTCTCTGTTTCCATTTCCCTCCCCTCTTGCCGCCCGCCCCCTCCCTTCCCTCCCTCCCCTCCCTCCCCTCCATGCATCCCTCCATCTGTCCCCTCGTGCAGATGAAGAGGAACAGCCAAGCGATGATGGAGATGGCAATGACTTACATAGCAGAGCGGAAACAGAGTGGTAACCAGACAGCCGACTGTAACGCTGCTGGGAGCTGTGTTGGCAATAGCAGTATTCCGAATAGCAATGGAGGGGATGAGGGTGATGGGAGGAAGGGTGAGGGAGCGGGGAGGGAAAGAATGGAAAATGTGATTGTTATGAGTGGTGACAGTAGAGGAAAAGAAGCAGCAGACTCTGCACCAGGGGGATAGCACGTTGGGTTGGGTGCATTGTGATCCAAGGTGTTGTGAAAATGTTATGTGCAGGTTGAGTTGTCTGTTTTGCCCCTTGTAAATAGTGATCCTCCGCAACACGGGTGAAGTCTCGGGCGCCAGGGGGTTTCCCCCAGGGGCTCGCAGGTGGATCGGCGTGGGAAAGGGGGCCTGGTTCCTCCTGGGATCTCCTTAAAGCCCAAAAAAAGTGTAAATAGTGATTTGAAAGTACTGACGTTTCTAATTCAAATGAATTAATATAATGAGGCTGGTAGTGCATTTTTTAGCCTCATTTTGTATAAGGTAAGGATTTGGGGGTGACCAGCAGAGGCTTAATACCTTTCGTCGTAATCACTTTCTAGCGAATCCATTTGCCCTAGGACCCTTCTAAGAGCCCTACTAACATGCCCCACGCCCTAGAACCTATTAAGTCCTAAACATGGAGCCTAGACGTTAGCATGTCGCAGCGGCGTATACTCTGCAATCGACAGAGCGTCAAGCATTGACGGTTTTTGAGGCGCCTCAAAAATCGTCTCAAGTATTGACGGGATACGTCGTCGTCAGTAGCGTCGCAGCGGTAGGAAATGCGCGATGGCTTTTAGTCACGAATTCGACACACGCGAAGGTTTGCTACGGGTTTCAAAAACCTACTCAGAATTCGTATAGTAGATTCCGAATCACCAGCGATCGGGAGGAGCCCCCGATTGCGGAGCATCGCAGTAACTAGCAAGCGATAGTGCAACCGCCACGCCTGGAGCAAGCGATAGTGCAACCGCCACGCCTGGAGCAAGCGATAGTGCAACCGCCACGCCTGGAGCAAGCGATAGTGCAACCGCCACGCCTGGAGGTCCTCGTAACTCTCGTGGAAAAGAATCTTCGCGATGCCGACGCCATTCGCGCGAGAGCTGGCGTGCGGAATCGTGAAGGACCACTTCGGCGACCAAGTAGAGGTGCGCCGAGGTGGTGTTATCAGGTGGAGGTGTTATCAGGTGGAAGTAGGCGGAGGTTACTAAACGGCTCCATAGTGTAGAATCGTGAAGGACCCTTCCCCTCCTCTTCCCCTCCTCTTCCCCTCCCCTTCCCCTCCTCTTGCCCTCCTCTTCCCCTCCTTCCACGCTACTAGAGAAGAATCCATTGGGCCTATCACTCCAGGACCTTTTTTGAGAATTCTAAAAATCACGCTCCAGGGCCTGGCGCTCCAGGATCTGGCCCTGCCACACCTCCCTCCCTCCCATTCCCCATCTTCCACTCCCGTACTCCTCCCCTTACCCGGCCCCCCTCTCTCCCCCTTGATCAGACGGTGTGTCGCACGCTACTCGAGAAGGGCCAGCTGGGCCTGTCGCTTCAAGACCTAGCCCGCCACACCTCCCTCCCTCCCCCATCGCTGCGCTCCGCCCTCTTGGTGTTGGTGCAGCACAACTGCGCCCAGGCGTTCCGCCAGCAAACCGACGGTGAGGCAGGAGGAGGGTTCAGGGTATAAGCCTTGGCTTCCTCCCTCCCCCTTTGCTCCGCTCTGCTCTCTTGCGTTGGTGTGCTGCAACTGTGCCCAGGCGTTTCGACAGCCAGCAGACGGTAAGAGTTTTGCTGCTCTGTATTTAGGGCTCTCTTGCTTGGGACCACCTCCCTCTCCCTTCGCTCCGCTCCGCTCTCTTGCTCTCCGATCTCTTTGAAGCTGGTTCTGCTTTTCTGAAAGGCTGGTGTTGGTGTAGTAGTAGGCTCGCTTCCTTCTCTTTTCTAATACCTGTTGGTGTTTAACCCTCTCAAAGTCAACTCCCCCCAGCATGTGTGTGCTCAGGCATTTTTCAACCCTCTCAAAGTCAACTCCCCCTTTGTGCCCCCCCCCCCCCCCGCCCCCCCCGCTCCCCCGCCCACCCCCTCCTCCCCAGACACTGCCCCCCTTGCCCGGACGCCCTCTCTCTACATTGCCCTGCAAGACTCCAACTTTGCCTCACCTGCCCTCCCAAACGATTCTTCAGCCCGTTTCCCCCGACCAGACCAGACCAGACCAGACCAGACCAGACCAGACCAGACCAGACCCGACCAGACCAGACCAGACCAGACCAGACCAGACCAGAACAGACCCGACCAGACCAGACCAGACCAGACCAGACCAGACCAGACCAGACCAGACCAGACCAGACCAGACCAGACCAGACCAGACCAGACCAGACCAGACCAGACCAGACCAGACCAGACTAGACCAGACTAGACCAGACTAGACCAGACCCCCCTCCATCCCTCTCCCCCCCCACCCCCAGACACGGGCCCCCTTGCCCGCACACCCGCTCTATACATCGCCCTGCAGGACTCCATCTGGCCTCGCCTGCGCTTCCCCATGTTATTCTCCCCCCCTCCCTCCCTCCCCCCTCCCCCCCTCCCTCCTGCCACCCCTCCCTGCCACCCCTCCCTGCCACCCCTCCCTGCCACCCCTCCCTGCCACCCCTCCCTGCCACCCCTTCTTTCCTTCCCAGACGCCGGCCCCCTTCCCCCCCCACCCACTCTCGACATCGCCCTGCAAGACTCCATTCTTTCTCGCATGCGCTTCGAAGTGACTCTTCTAGCAATCTCCCCAAACACCCCCCCACCCCACCTCCCCGCCCTCTCTCCTCCCCGCCCCTCCATCCCTCTCCCCTCCCACCCCCAGACACCGGCCCTCTTGTCCGCACGCCCACGCTCTACATCGCCCTGCAGGACTCCATTCTGCCTCGCCTGCGCTTCCCCAAGTTCATGGATCAGGCCAACGAGCTGCTGGGGGAAGAGGTGGGTGGGTGGGTGGGTGGGTGGGTGGGTGGGCAAGGTGTTGGTTGGTGGTGGCAGTAAGCCTTTGGAAGAAAGAGGATCCATTCTGCCCCAGATGCGATTGGAGCACGGGCTGCACGGCTCTATCTTGCTAATGCCAGAATCGTCCGCCTATTTTGCCCGTTGCCTGTTATCACTCTACCTGTTCCGCCTCTACCTGTTCCGCCTCTACCTGTTTTCTCTCGTTCCTCTGCTCCCTCCTACATCTACTCTTCCGTCCCTCGTGCACTCCAGGCAGAAGCAGTTGTGGAAACGTTTCTAGAGCACGGTCCAGAGACCATGAGCTGTCTGCTCTGTATGGCCTCCTGTCCCCTCATCAGCGCATGCAGCAATCACGCTTCCCTTATTAATCTATTTTTGAGGCGCCTCATAAACTGTCTGCGTGGCCTCCTGTCCCCTCATCAGCGCATGCAGCAATCACAGTTCCCGTATTAATCTCTCCCTTCCTTCTCCCCCCCCACCCTCCATCACGCCTTTCGTCAAGCAGAAGCAGTGGTGGAGGCCTTACTAGAGCACGGTCGCACGTCCCTCCACCAGCTGGATCCATTGACCCTTAAAACCCCTTCCCTTCCTCTCTTCCCTTCTCCATTCTCCCCTCCATGTCTCTTCTTCTCAGGCAGAAGCAGTGGTAGAGGCTTTACTGGAGCACGGCCGTCTGTCCCTTCACCAGCTGGTGCAGCGAGCAATGGCGAAAGCTGGCTCTGCTGACCCGTCTGCTGCCAAGAGTGAGTAACTAATTGGTGATGAGACGAACCTAAGGGTGTGTAAGTTACTGATTAGGCACTTACACACCCTAAGGCGCTTAAGAGTCAGTACTTGTTGGATAGGGTCCCTTCGCCAAGCAAGCGTGCTTAGGTTTTATGATTGGAGGTCTGAAATAAGTCACTTATTGTGCAAGAGACAGTTACCCGCTTGGTGCTTGTTTGACAAGAGCTCGAGTGAAAGTAACTCATTGTGTATGTAACCCGCTTGTGAGAGCCCAAGAGACACCTACATCACTAAATAGTTGCTGTGAAGGCCCATCGTCTTATGCAATGCAACAACCTATACCCGAGTCCTGACTTGTATCAGCCGGCCCTTCTGCCCTCCGTTCTTAAACTTTTCTGTGGTGCCATCATCAGCTGTTTTTTCTTTTCATGTTTGTGTGCCGCGCAGTACTGTTGATGGCGCAGTACTGTTGATGGCGCAGTACTGTTGATGGCGCAGTACTGTTGATGGCGCAGTACTGTTGATGGCGCAGTACTGTTGATGGCGCAGTACTGTTGATGGCGCAGTACTGTTGATGGCGCAGTACTGTTGATGGCGCAGTACTGTTGATGGCGCAGTACTGTCTGCTCAGAACATGAAATGAAAAAGCTTTTGAGTCGACTCAAAAGCAGACTCATTCCACACGGACTCAAAAGCAGACTCATTACACACGGACTCAAAAGCAGACTCATTACACACGGACTCAAAAGCAGACTCATTACACACGGACTCAAAAGCAGACTCATCATACACACCGGACTCGAAAAGCAGACTCATTCCACACGGACTCAAAAGCAGACTCATTCACACGGACTCAAAAGCGGACTCATCCAGACAAAAGCAGACTCATTACACACGGACTCAAAAGCAGACTCATTACACACGGACTCAAAAGGCAGACTCATTACACACGGACTCAAAAGCAGACTCATTACACACGGACTCAAAAGCAGACTCATTACACCGGACTCAAAGCAGACTCATTACACACGGACTCAAAAGCAGATCATTACACACGGACTCAAAAGCAGACTCATAACACACGGACTCAGAAAGCAGACTCATTCCACACGGACTCAAAAGCAGACTCATTACACACGGACTCAAAAGCAGACTCATTACACACGGACTCAAAAGCAGACTCATTACACACGGACTCAAAAGCAGACTCATTACACACGGACTCAAAAGCAGACTCATTACACACGGACTCAAAAGCAGACTCATAACACACCGGACTCAAAAGCAGACTCATTACACACGGACTCAAAAGCAGAACTCATTACAACACGGACTCAAAAGCAGACTCATTACACACGGACTCAAAAGCAGACTCATTACACACGGACTCAAAAGCAGACTCATTACACACGGACTCAAAAGCAGACTCATTACACACGGACTCAAAAGCAGACTCATTACACACGGACTCAAAAGCAGACTCATTACACACGGACTCAAAAGCAGACTCATTACACACGGACTCAAAAGCAGACTCATTACACACGGACTCAAAAGCAGACTCATTACACACGGACTCAAAAGCAGACTCATTACACACGGACTCAAAAGCAGACTCATTACACACGGACTCAAAAGCAGACTCATTACACACGGACTCAAAAGCAGACTCATTACACACGGACTCAAAAGCAGACTCATTACACACGGACTCAAAAGCAGACTCATTACACACGGACTCAAAAGCAGACTCATACACACGGACTCAAAAGCAGACTCATTACACACGGACTCAAAAGCAGACTCATTACACACGGACTCAAAAGCAGACTCATTACACACGGACTCAAAAGCAGACTCATTACACACGGACTCAAAAGCAGACTCATTACACACGGACTCAAAAGCAGACTCATTACACACGGACTCAAAAGCAGACTCATTACACACGGACTCAAAAGCAGACTCATTACACACGGACTCAAAAGCAGACTCATTACACACGGACTCAAAAGCAGACTCATTACACACGGACTCAAAAGCAGACTCATTACACACGGACTCAAAAGCAGACTCATTACACACGGACTCAAAAGCAGACTCATTACACACGGACTCAAAAGCAGACTCATTACACACGGACTCAAAAGCAGACTCATTACACACGGACTCAAAAGCAGACTCATTACACACGGACTCAAAAGCAGACTCATTACACACGGACTCAAAAGCAGACTCATTACACACGGACTCAAAAGCAGACTCATTACACACGGACTCAAAAGCAGACTCATTACACACGGACTCAAAAGCAGACTCATTACACACGGACTCAAAAGCAGACTCATTACACACGGACTCAAAAGCAGACTCATTACACACGGACTCAAAAGCAGACTCATTACACACGGACTCAAAAGCAGACTCATTACACACGGACTCAAAAGCAGACTCATTACACACGGACTCAAAAGCAGACTCATTACACACGGACTCAAAAGCAGACTCATTACACACGGACTCAAAAGCAGACTCATTACACACGGACTCAAAAGCAGACTCATTACACACGGACTCAAAAGCAGACTCATTACACACGGACTCAAAAGCAGACTCATTACACACGGACTCAAAAGCAGACTCATTACACACGGACTCAAAAGCAGACTCATTACACACGGACTCAAAAGCAGACTCATTACACACGGACTCAAAAGCAGACTCATTACACGGACTCAAAAGCAGACTCATTACACACGGACTCAAAAGCAGACTCATTACACACGGACTCAAAAGCAGACTCATTACACACGGACTCAAAAGCAGACTCATTACACACGGACTCAAAAGCAGACTCATTACACACGGACTCAAAAGCAGACTCATTACACACGGACTCAAAAGCAGACTCATTACACACGGACTCAAAAGCAGACTCATTACACACGGACTCAAAAGCAGACTCATTACACACGGACTCAAAAGCAGACTCATAACACACGGACTCAAAAGCAGACTCATTCCACACGGACTCAAAAGCAGACTCATTACACACGGACTCAAAAGCAGACTCATTACACACGGACTCAAAAGCAGACTCATTACACACGGACTCAAAAGCAGACTCATTACACACGGACTCAAAAGCAGACTCATTACACACGGACTCAAAAGCAGACTCATTACACACGGACTCAAAAGCAGACTCATTACACACGGACTCAAAAGCAGACTCATTACACACGGACTCAAAAGCAGACTCATTACACACGGACTCAAAAGCAGACTCATTACACACGGACTCAAAAGCAGACTCATTACACACGGACTCAAAAGCAGACTCATTACACACGGATCAAAAGCAGACTCATTACACACGGACTCAAAAGCAGACTCATTACACACGGACTCAAAAGCAGACTCATTACACACGGACTCAAAAGCAGACTCATTACACACGGACTCAAAAGCAGACTCATTACACACGGACTCAAAAGCAGACTCATTACACACGGACTCAAAAGCAGACTCATTACACACGGACTCAAAAGCAGACTCATTACACACGGACTCAAAAGCAGACTCATTACACACGGACTCAAAAGCAGACTCATTACACACGGACTCAAAAGCAGACTCATTACACACGGACTCAAAAGCAGACTCATTACACACGGACTCAAAAGCAGACTCATTACACACGGACTCAAAAGCAGACTCATTACACACGGACTCAAAGCAGACTCATTACACACGGACTCAAAAGCAGACTCATTACACACGGACTCAAAAGCAGACTTACACACGGACTCGAAAGCAGACTCATTACACACGGACTCAAAAGCAGACTCATTACACACGGACTCAAAAGCAGACTCATTACACACGGACTCAAAAGCAGACTCATTACACACGGACTCAAAAGCAGACTCATTACACACGGACTCAAAAGCAGACTCATTACACACGGACTCAAAAAGCAGACTCATTACCACGGACTCAAAAGCAGACTCATTACACACGGACTCAAAAGCAGACTCATTACACACGGACTCAAAAGCAGACTCATTACACACGGACTCAAAAGCAGACTCATTACACACGGACTCAAAAGCAGACTCATTACACACGGACTCAAAAGCAGACTCATTACACACGGACTCAAAAGCAGACTCATTACACACGGACTCAAAAGCAGACTCATTACACACGGACTCAAAAGCAGACTCATTACACACGGACTCAAAAGCAGACTCATTACACACGGACTCAAAAGCAGACTCATTACACACGGACTCAAAAGCAGACTCATTACACACGGACTCAAAAGCAGACTCATTACACACGGACTCAAAAGCAGACTCATTACACACGGACTCAAAAGCAGACTCATTACACACGGACTCAAAAGCAGACTCATTACACACGGACTCAAAAGCAGACTCATTACACACGGACTCAAAAGCAGACTCATTACACACGGACTCAAAAGCAGACTCATTACACACGGACTCAAAAGCAGACTCATTACACACGGACTCAAAAGCAGACTCATTACACACGGACTCAAAAGCAGACTCATTACACACGGACTCAAAAGCAGACTCATTACACACGGACTCAAAAGCAGACTCATTACACACGGACTCAAAAGCAGACTCATTACACACGGACTCAAAAGCAGACTCATTACACACGGACTCAAAAGCAGACTCATTCCACACGGACTCAAAAGCAGACTCATTACACACGGACTCAAAAGCAGACTCATTACACACGGACTCAAAAGCAGACTCATTACACACGGACTCAAAAGCAGACTCATAACACACGGACTCGAAAGCAGACTCATTCCACACGGACTCAAAAGCAGACTCATTACACACGGACTCAAAAGCAGACTCATTACACACGGACTCAAAAGCAGACTCATTACACACGGACTCAAAAGCAGACTCATTACACACGGACTCAAAAGCAGACTCATTACACACGGACTCAAAAGCAGACTCATTAC